CAGATTCCGACCATGAGGCAGAGAATGATGAACACAATGATGACCACGACATCTGGAGTCTCCAGACCGGCGTTCTTGAACGCTGTTTGCCCGCCCTCGGACGCCATCCTGCACTCCCAGCGAGCTCGTCCAACAACTAGATCAGGTCACAAGAATCCTCCGTCTACTCTGAACTCATGTCACACGAGGAGATCCCGTCCTTGAACCCTGTGTGGAAAAATACATATTATACTTCTAAAGCATATTATGTGAGGCGTGCTGACAAAATGAGTTACTTCTCGCAATCCACAAATGGATATATTGGCCAAAAATTGACATTGGGGTCAAATTTGCATATTTTCAATTTTTGTCACATATCCTTTAACTATATTCTGTCTTTTATTATTGCATACAGTAAGTCCGCCCACCTGTAACCTCCCACAGAATTACTCTAATGGCTCACACAAACTACTCTCACTGAAAGGACAGCAACAATGATGGTAGTTGAGGCTAAAGTGCGGGTGCTCCTGCTGTATTTAGGTTTTAAGCTTGTACCAGGGGGAAAATGATTAACCCTATCCCTACGTCGTGTTTTAGTATCGTATCCATACGACGTGTGCCACCACTTTCCAAAGAGGAAAATTTCTCGTTAATCCGTTCGTACGCTTTGCATAGTAGTCTGTCAAAAAGATTTTTTTTTGAAATACTGAAAGTTTCAAAGAGATATTCTAAAATGTGATAAATACAACCTTGGAGGTACAAAATGACCCCAGGGCGTACGGATAGGGTTAAGCATTATTATCATTTATACAGTGTTCACATGTGTGATTTTGGCGCAGATGTGTTGAAAGGCTGCCTTGAATAATACATTGTTATTGCCTCGAGGAGGGAGAGGTGTAGAAACAGATGCCGGTTTGTTTTGTTAGATATACGGTTGTCTATTGTTATAACTACTATAGTCCTTTCTTTATAACCCAATGCTTGTCAAACTGGGCGGTATTGCCCCCAGAATGGGGCAGTCTGCAGTCTGATGATTCTGGTGGCTGGTCTTAAAAGTCTTTTCGTCGCCGATCTTAAAGGCCGAGATGGTATATATTCGATGACCATGTCACAAAGATATGATGGAGCAATGTCGTTGACGCACTTAAAACAAAGAACAATTATTACTATTATTATTATCATCATCATTACTATTATTATTATTATTATTATTATTATTATTATTATTATTA